GAGGTCCAGAGGGCAAAAAGCATTTAAAAGTTAAGTCTTGTCAAAGGGCTGGGTTTGACAGTTAAGAACACTGCTGCTCTTGCAGGGGACCTGAGTTTGGTACCAAGCACCTACATCAGGCAGCTTACAGTTCCAGCTCCTGGGGATCTGATATCCTCTTCTGGACTTTTGAGGCACTATACTCACATGTACATTCCCACACACAGACACAGATATGTAACCCTGTCAGAAGATGCCAGCAAAGTTCTATCTTTATCAGTTTAAAAAGTGATAAGCTGGGTGGTAATGGCTCATGTCTTTAATCCTAGCACTCGGAAGCAGAGGCAAGTCAATCTCTGAGAGCTCGAGGACAGCCAGGCCACCTAGAGAAACTCTGTCTTGAAAAGCAAAACAAAATCATTATTTATGTAGAAGTGTCTACAAAATAACATTATCTTTTAATTTTACTTGGCATGGTGGTATGAGAGGTCCTTCTGTCTATTTGTTGCTTTCATTGGTTAATGAATAAAGAAACTGTCTTGGTCTATTGATAGGGCAGAACTTAGGTAGGCAGGGAAAACTAAATGGAATGCTGGGAAGAAGGAAGGTAGAGGGAAGATGGCATGAAGCCGCTGGAGATAGATGTTGGGAATTTTACCCGGTAAGACACAGCCATGTGGCAATACACGGAATAATAGAAATGGGTTAAATGAATATGTAAGAGTTAGCCAATAATAAGTTAGAGCTAATGGGTAAAGCAGTGATTTAATTAATACAGTTTCTGTGTGGTTATTTTGGTTCTGGGCAGTTGAGATAAGCAAGCGGCTCCTTGCAACAGTTTGGGATATGGATTTAGGGACATTGTACCAGTTTAATTAAAATAAACACTATTTGTAGGGAGAAAAGAGAAAGAAAAATAGAAACATTTCAAATTTAAAAAAAATTAAGCATGCTATTGTTTAGTTTAAAAATGACAAACCATTTTTAGTAATAATTTGTTAGAATTTTAAAAAATAAAACATATGCCATCAAAATATGTAAAAATCTTTATTTAGGCTTTGTGGCACAGTCCAGTGATACCAGAAGACCAGCCTGAGAGATAAAGTGAAACCTTGTCTTAAAATAAACAATAGAGAGGGGCTCAGTGGTTAAGAGCACTTCTTGCTCTTGCAGGGGGAGCAGAGTTTGGTTCCTGGCTTATAATCATTTCTAACTCTAGTTCCAGGGATCTGGGGCCATTTTTTTGGACCTCTGTGGGCATTAGGCATACATGTGCATACATGCAATGAGGCAGGAAAAACACTGATAAATATGATAACTCATAAGGAGGGCACTTGTTTAGCGTGCACAACACCCTAGCATCAATCCTTAGCACATATATCTACATTTATCTTACAAAACAAAGATCTACTGAAATGATCAAACAGCTTCCAAGGTTCAGTTCTCTGAATGTAGACATTGAGGGCGTACCACCACTGGATGAGGGTAAAAACAGAAATGAACTGAGGTAAAACCTATGACAAGCTTGACCAAATGAGAACCTTCCAAGCAGAAAGTTCTGAAGCAAAAACCTGAGAGCCTGCTGGGCACAGTGGTGCGCACCTTCACTCCTAGCACTGGAAGGCAGAGACAGGCCACACTAAAGAGTTCCGGGTCCGCCTGGTCTGTATACTGAGTTCCAGGACAGTCAGGGCTACACAGAGAAACCCTGTCTTGAAAAACAAAACAAAACAAAAAAGCAAGTCAGTTGTTGTTCAGCACTGAGCCCATATCTGTAATGAGTTTTTTTCTGTGCTGCCAGCCAGATCCCAAATAATGACATGGAGACTTCTTACTGTGAAAGCTTGGCTCACAGATTAGGCTTTCCTCACTAGCTCTTATAACTTCATTAACCCATATTTTTATTAATCTACATTCTACCACGTGGCTTTTACCTCTTTCCCATTCTGTGTCCGACTTATTTCCGTGCCTCCATGACCTCTTCCTAGACTCATCTTCTATTTCCTCTCTCTCCTACATCTCCTGCCTAGGCACTGGCCACTCAGCTCTCCATTAAACCAATCACAGCACTGTATCTTCCCACAGTGTACAAACATTCCACAGCACATCTAATGGCTGGGTGTCGCTGCTGCCTGATGCTGAGGTCCTGAAGAAGCTGAAAGCTGTGGCCCGATGATGTAGCAGCTCCTTGCTCTAAGGGAGTCTATATAGCACATCTCTGAGGCTATTATGTCAATTGGAAAACTTCTAGGGCAGGCTATAATTTTCCACCATTACCATGCCATATCTATTATTTCACATTAAATATTTATTTGTTGTCTTTTTTTTTTCCAAGACAAGGTTTCTCTGTGCAACAGCCTTGACTATTGTGTGAGATTTTACTCTTTTGGTTTTTTGAGGGGTCCACCAACTAGTTCCCAAATAAATCACACACGGAAGTGAGGCTTATTCTTAGTTATGAATGTCTGGCCTTAGTTTGGCTTGTTTCTTGCCCGCTTTTCGTAACTTAAATTAACCTGTTTACCTTTTGCCTCTGGGATTTTATCTTTCGCTATTTTGTACACCTTTGTTTACTTCTTTCTCGGTGGTTTGCTGTGTAGCTGGGCACCTGGCCCCTGAGGTCCTCCTCTCCTTGCTCTCTTGTTGGTCTTCTTTCCCTCATTCTCGGTTGGTTCTCCTTCTGTTTATTCTCTCTGCCTGCCAGCCCTGCCTTTCCTTGCTCCTGCCTCACTATTGGCCATTCAGCTCTTTATTAAGACCATCAGGTGTTTTAGACAGGCAAAAAATCACAGCTTCACAGAGATAAACAAATACAGCGTAAACAAAAGTCACACACCTGAAAGTAATATTCCTCAACACTGTTCTGGAACTCATGCTGTAAACCAGGCTGACCTCGAACTCAGAGACAAGCCTGCTTCTGCTTCCTGAGTGCTGGGATGAAAGGTGAGCATCACCACCTAGCCTTTTTAAAAAAAATTATTATTATTATTATTATTATTATTATTATTATATTTTGAGAAAGGATCTTTAAAGTAGTCCTGGCTGTTCTGTAGAGCAAGCTGGTCTCAAACTCACAAAGATCCATCTGTTTCTGCCTTGGACATACTCAAACATACAGACCTGTGAAGTGGAGCTTCGTGTGGTGGTATATACTTGCAGCACCAGTACTGGGGAGGCTGGGGAAGGAAGATTATAAGGTCCAGGTTACCCAGAGCTACACAGCAAGACCCTGTCTCAGTAACTCCAAAATACGTTATTTTCATCATAATTTTATTTTTTAAGACAGGGTTTCTCTGTGTACCACCCCTGGCTGTTCTGAAACTGGATTTGTAGACTATGCAGGCTGGCCTCAAACTCAGAGATGTCTCTGCTTCCTGAATGCTGGGATTAAAAATGTGAGCCTTTACTGCCTGGCAAAACCATAAAATTAAAGTGGTTAAAAAAGCTTATAGATTTTGAGGAATCCTGGGGGCCTCAAGATGGTACCAGAGGTTGTGTGAAGTCAAATATGTTTTCATAGCAGTAGAGACAAATAAACTGCCTTTTTATTGGGCCAATATCTGAGATGAAAGCATAAAAGAAGTGGTTTGTGAAACTCCTGGCTCCTTGAGAGAAACCTGGATGAACAGAACTCAGTGGGCACCATTATATAATTTGCAAGTAAGCCAGGAGAAAACACCAGCGTCAGTTTTTTCTGTTTCTTTTGTGCAGCAGAAACAACTACTAAGTTGAGGAAAATCTCAGCCCTCAAGTACATGTTTCTGCTTGCTTTGTTTATGTGCGTTGGTGTTTTGCCTGCATTCATATCTATGTGAGGGTGTCGGGTCACCTGGAATTGGAGTTACAAACAGCTCTGAGCTACCTTGTAGAATTGAACCCAGGTCCTCTGGAAGAGCAGCCAGTACTACTAACTGCTGAGCCATCTCTCCAGTCCCTAAGTACACGTATTTTAACATCAATTGATAAAAGGGAAGTCCACATACAGCCCTTCCGCATGCCTTGGCTGTCACTTGCCCACCACTTCCATAGAACACCATTTCTAATGGCAAGGACAGCTGCTAAGCTGGCACTCAGACCTGTTATACATTTCAGTTTATATTCATGTAGGTCCTCCCAACCCCGAGACAAGCCTCGCTATATAGCCCAGGTTGGCCTCAAATTCACAATATAGCCCAGGTTAGCTTTGAATTCTCAAGACTTTAGCTTTCCCTTTCCTCTCTGGGTCTCTCTGTCACCTGTAGAAACAGATAATGTGGAGGCTACTGCTGGCAGAGAAAAAAGTCTAATGAACTGAGAAATATTTGCTGATAGAGTCTACAAGTCCTAATAATACTTTTTTTTTTTTTATAAAGGATGATGCCAGGCAGTGGTTGGTGCAGGCCTTTAATCCCAGCACTCGGGAAGCAGAGGCAGGCAGATCTCTGTGAGTTCGAGGCCAGCCTGGTCTACAGAAAGAGTTCCAGGACAGTAAGGGCTACACAGAGAAACCCTGTCTTAGGAAACAAATGAACGGACAAGGATGATGCTGGTCTGGTGAGGCACGCCTGTCTCTCCAGAACTTGGGGGCGAAAGCAAAACAAGTCTGAGGCCAGCATGCACTGAGAGAAACGTGTCTCAAGCACCCACACCCACGAAGTGAGGCCCTCTTGAAGGTACTTTGTTTCAAGGAAAGGCTGTTGAATAATCATATCTTCTTTTTTGTTTTGTACTCTCTCTGTCTCTTTCTCTCTGTGTATGTGTGTAGGCAGGGTCTCACTATATAGTCTTGGCTCTGGCCTGAAACTTGACACGTAGACCAGGTTGACCTTGATCCTCTACCTTCCAAGTTCTGGGATCAAAGGTACATGCCACCAAGTCAGCCACAATTTTCTTTTCTTATCCCTCAAGCATCTCTTTCTAGTGCAGACCCACTGGCTGGCTAATCGGGATTGACTTACAGTTGTGTAACTGCCAAATGGACAAACCCATTTCCTTTTTCACCACTGTGGTAAGAACTGCTGATCCAGCCAACTCAGGAGGAAGTGAGTGCTCTTCACCACAGGAGGCAATCTCTTCTGCCTCTTGGGGACCTGGTCCCATCCTTGCCAGAGTCTGTCACACAGATGTCCTCACTTCTCTAGGAAGAAACAAGGGTGTGGCCAGCCTTCCACCAAAGAAATAACAAACACCGAAATCAGGTAGGTCATCTCACTTAAGTGGGAATGGCTAGAGTGGAGTCCTGTGTCACAACACCGGCCTAGCTTGTGCAAAGCCCTGGATTCCATTCTAAGCACCAAAGACAGAGAGAGAGAGAGAGAGAGAGAGAGAGAGAGAGAGAGAGAGAG